GAAGGCAGTAATATTACGAACCCTGATTTTCGTCATTCGATGACTCACCTTTGCTCGCCTTTTTCGTAAGGCGTCCAATGTTCGCCTAAGGCACCTGCTAAAGTTTACCTCTCATTATGGGACATTAACGTCTTCACCCCTCTACTGAGCGTATGGCTCTAATGTGCAAGAGGTTTAAAATTTTGTCCCATAAAATGCCGATTGTTGCACAAATGGCAGAGTCATAGAGGGCTTGCTTTGCACTTTTGCCCCCTAAAGTTGACATACATCGTCAACTCGTCCTCACAAAGGGACTGGAAGACTTGCCGGGCAAAGTCGTCAATATCCCGTCCACCTACGCAGGACGGGAAAGCAACCTGAAAGTGTTGTGAAAGAAGAGCATACGCCTTACCAATTGTTGGCGGAGAGGGGGTCTGGCCACTGAGGCGATTTGAAGAAAGCCCGGCCTTTTGTTCATGCACTGACTCGCCACTGCCTGCGGTCACTACCTCTGCCCCACGTAGGCGGTGGTGCAAACTCTGATTGCATTTAATCAACCACGTCGCCTGCCTTTTCAGCAGACAGATGGCCTCCTGCAGACGTCTTTACCCGTCAGCTAAGGCTGACAGCGTTGCACGCAGGGAATGTTCGTAATAGGCTATGGTGATAGTGAATAACAGTGTAAACTATCTTGGTGGTTATTGTGATACTTTCGCATCGGCGGTGTATGGGTAGACTCAGATTTTGAGTCATTGTCTGCTCCACCCTAGGCAGTATGTAGTGCGACAACTGCAAACCTACCTCTGGGGACATTTGTGGGTCATCAAGTGATCATATGGGGTCATCGTAGGGATTCCGAATGGTCCTGTCGTCGTTTGTCTTGTTGATTGTTCTGATGCATCCACAGCCACACAGGAAGACAGTGTTAAGTGGGATCATGATTTATGATTACGGTTGTAAACCACCCACTATGTTAATGTGTGGTTGCAAAGTTTGGTTAGAACGTACGAACAACAATTAGGCACGCACACATGCGCAAAAAACGAGCCGGAAAGTCTGGCAAATTCGATGTTACTGAAATTTCAGCTATGTAAACATGTATGTTTGTAGATTACGCAGGGTGCGTGAAGTAATCTGACACATTAACAAACTCGCTGTAACCTTAGTAAGCTATTCCTTTCCTGTCAAATACTATGCTTTTCATCAATATTATTTTATATTCGATCGATATGCAGCCATCGGTCGCTGAGGTATCCTCCCCATAACATGCACCAATTGAACATGCATATTGCTCGTAGGCCTCAAGACCTTCCGGTATTAGGCCCTAGTTTGCTGATGCATAAACCTTACCGCTTTCTTCTGGACGTAGACTGCTTATAGGTGAAGCCACTTCACACAGTCGCCTACTTGTTTGCTACAGGGGCTTCGAATGATTTCGTAGAAACCTTTTATGTTATGTTATTTTTAATTTGCGTAAAGAAGGCTCGCGCAGTTGTATCACATCTAAAACAGCCGATGCGAAAAACCTTAGGACGTCGGAAAGAAGGAGATTCTAGGCCTATTAGTTGTAAACTACAAACTTATTCTACAAGTACTTCGCAAAAGAC